ATGATGATGATGATGATGATGATGATGATGATGGTGATGATGATGATGATGATGATGATGATGATGCGATGAAGAATGGAGGAAATAATGGTGACAAGAAAGATAATGATGGTGATGATGATGGTGGTGATAAAGATGGTGAGTTCGCTGGTGATTACACCATAGCGAAATCTTTTAATAATGCTTACGTTCATGAAACATATAAAAATAACAACAGCAATAATGACATTAATAGCAATAATAATAATAATAACAGTAACAACAACAATAACAATAATAAAAACAACAACATCAGCCACATAAGCAACAACAACATCAGCAACAACAACATCAGCAACAACAACATCAGCCACAACAACAAAGTCACAAATTTTTTTCCCATAAAGCCTGAGGATAAATTTGTCAAAAACAACAAAAAAACAGACATTGGAATAAAAAATTATACAAATAAAGATGGCTTTTATAATAATAATAATAATAATAATAATAATAATAATAACAATGAGAATGACAATGCCAACAATAATAATAATAACATCCAAAATAACGATAACAATAACTTAAATAATGACCGTGACGAAGTTAGAAATGAAATTTGGCCAAACTACAGCAACAACAACAACAACAATAATAATAATAACATGAGCAATAACATAAACAAGAACAAAACTATCACGAAAAATGCAAAAAACAAATTTTTCAATAAAATCAACATGAACAAAAACCAGAGCAAAGGTGTTAACATCAACAACAAATTAAGCAATTACAAAAACAACAGTAAACACAACAACAATAACAAAAACAAACACAACAACAACAATGCCAACAAATACAGCACCACCAACAACAGTGACAACAAAGACCATTTTTCAAAAGGCAAAACAAAACTCCGAAAACGAACATTAAAACTAACGCCTCTAAAACAGTCATCATCATCATCACCATCAACAACAACAAAAACAACAACATTACTCTCTCTATATTGTTTGTCATGGTGGAGTTCTGGAAATAAATTATTTTTACTGGTTCGAAATATGAACGCCCTTAATGTTAATAATTCTAATAACAAAAACATCAACGACAACGACATCAACCACAATAACATCAATAAAAACAATAATAAAAACAGAAGTAACAACAACAAAAAGAATTACAACAATATCATTAACCGTAGCAGTAACAGCATTAATTCCACAGCTCATTTTCACAACTTGAAATCAATACGATCGTTATTTTTAAAATCATCTTCATCATCATCATCGTCCTTCTTCTCATCATCATCATCATCGTCGTCACCATCATCTTCGCCGATATTACCATTGTCTTTTTCATCATATAAATCATCATCAAAACCATCATCCTCTCCATCATCATCATCTTCATCCTTATCATCATCATTATCACCATCATCGCAATCATTATCATCATCACCGCAATCATTATCATCATCATCTGAATCATCGTCATCGTCGTCGTCATCATCATTACCATATGAATGTTATGTAAGTCTGTCAGAATAATTAATATACTAACATAATTATTTAATTTTTTCAATTAAAGTTTTTTGAACTGACAACAGTGTCAACCTTTTTTATTTTAATTCAATTTTTTAATATAAATTTTAATAAAATTTAAAAATATGATTTAAACTGATTAATTAATAATTAATTAGTTAATTAAAGTTGGTGTAATTATTAATTTCAATTAGTAAATTTATTATTTACTTTTACCTATTTAATTTGTTTTATTTTAGTTGATTTTATTTATTTCATTTTATTTTAATAGATAATGTTAATTTAATTTAAATTCTTATCAGAGTTTTGAGACGAACGGCTCCCTGATCATCTTCGCTTTTGAGAAAAATTGCCACTTCCAACCACATTTCAAAAAACAACAACAACGTCTGCAACGACATCAACAACAACAACAGCAAAGGCAGCAGCAACAAACTTTTAACTTTCAACATCAACAACAACAAAATGTTAACTTTCAACAACACCAAAAACAACTTCAACTACAACAACCACAACCACCACAATCGCAACAACCTCAACCGCAACAACATGAACAACAACAATCACAACAACCACAACAATATGAAGATGAAAACCCGCCAAATTATTTTACTTTTGTATATAAATTAGGTTAATATGTCAAATAGTATATTTCATAATAAAATGACATCGTAATATTTTTATTATTAGCAGCAGTAGAAGTATTATTATTATTATTATTATTATTATTAGTAGTAGTAGTAGTAGTAGTAGTAGTAGTAGTAGTAGTAGTAGTAGTATTTAGTAGTAATAGTAGTAGTATTTAGTAGTAGTAGTATGAGTAGTAGTAGCAGTATTGTTGTTATTGTTATTAACGATGGCACCAGCTAACTTTCTACCAATCAAAATAACAGAACCCTGCCCGCTACAAAGACAGCCGCAAACATCTTCATCAGCCACAAATCACGTCGTCGCCAGCCACAACCACAGCAACAACAACAGCAACAACAACAGCAACAACAACATCAACAACAACATCAGCAACAGCATCAACGACATGACGACGACGACAACATCGACCAATAAAAAGCAGCAAAAACATCTAACCGGAAGTTATATGTATCCCATTTCCGGTCATGCGTCCCACGTTTCCGGTCAGGTGATGAATGATGGAACAAATTGGCGGGAAAAATCTACCCGACCGCCGCATGGGCGCAGAAAAAATTACGCGGTCGGTCATTTTTTATCTGCCTTTAATTGCAGCGGATGAAAAAAACGCGCCCACTTCAGAACTTTTGCAACAGTTGTTGCTGTGACTATCGCGATGATCATGTTTTTATCTGAAGCTAAATTTTTCCTAGTTTGATTGTTAACATTTGAGTGTTTGTGTGTTTGTTCGTATTGGTTTGTTTGTATGTTTGTATGTCCGTCTGTTTGTTCGTTTTTTCGTTTTAACGTTTATTTCTTTGTTTGGTCGTTCACTTGTTTGTTTTTCGTTCGTTCGTTTGTATATGTTAGGTGTGTTCGTCTGTGGCTGTTGTCAACGTGTGTGTGTGTGCGTGCGCGTTTTGTTCATATAATGTGACTTGTTCCATTTAAACTTATGCAGACCAACTTTTTTATGTTTAAATAATGTTAATGATATTTAATCCTATTTAATTTATTTCCCAGTTTGCAATATTTTAACGTTTATTATTATTATTTGTATTATTATTATTGTTGTGGTGGTGGTTTTTGTTGTTAATGTTGTTGTTACTGTTGCTGATGTTATCGCTATTAATGTTAACTAACGGCTTGACGTACTGTTATTGCGCAAATACAAAACTCATTTCATCCATCTTATCTTTTTCTTTATGGTATGTTCCATCTATTCAATTCAGTTAATTACAGCAGTTTTTGTTAATTTTAACAAACTAATTAACAACTAGCACGAGTAGCATCAAAAACGTCAGCCACCTACAGCTCGTGAAGTGGTAACTGCTGCCTCAGCTACCACTGCTACCACTGCTATTACTACTACTGCCACCACTTTCTACTTCAACGTTTTCACACTTCGATCAAAAATCCCTCGTCTATTTTTGACTCATGTTTGAAATTATTGACAACAGCACGATTGGATATTTATTCAGGGTTATTTATTCATATGAACGGCATATTGTAGGACAATCATAATTTAATAAATAATAATGACTATAATTAACAATAAGAATTATTATTATTATTATTGTTATTATTATTATTATTATTATGAAAATTATAATATAAATAATGGCAGCGCTTCTCTTCAGATCAGCAATTGAAATAAGATTTATCCGAATGCAGTAACCCGTGCACTTGTTTAATTTTTAGGTTGCTGCTATTAATATTATTATTATTATTATTATTATTAGTAGTAGTAGTAGTAGTAGTTGTTGTAGTAGTACTAGCATTATTATTATTATTATCATTATTATTATTATTATTATTATAAGTCAAATTGCGGTTATAGTTTATTCATCTGTACAACTTATTTTTGAATGTTAAATAAAGATAAAATATTTGATAGGAAATAAGAGTGCAATGTATTTCGTCCCTTGCTAAGCTGTTCTGTAAACCTAGTAAATAATATTTTTGCTGAAATTTAATTAGAAATATTAATTTTTTACGTCACGTTTCCAATACTCTTTCTGTTATCATTGTATTTGCAAGCAGATGTAATACGCACACACGAATGAGCTAGTTTAATTTTATTCTATTGTAATTCAAGCTCACTTTCGAACTTTAGAATTTACAAACACAGTATACTTACACACACACACACACACACACACACACACAGACAAAAAACAAACACACACGACACACACGCACACACTTACACACACACGCACACACACACATATATACACATTCACACACACATACATGTGCAAACATACACAACAGGTTGCGTATAATTATACACGTTAGGAGTTTTGAAAGCCTCTACCGCAATTAAATTACTTCCCAAATGATGATTATTAATGCGTCTGTTTGTCACTTGTTGTTCACGCGAACTGAAAACTCTCACCTTTTATTGATATATAATGTATGTCTTGAATGAGATTTCAAACGAAAAACAACAAAACGTATTTTATTCATGAAAAATAAATCGAAATACCTTTTCCACAAACTTACAAAAAAAAATTTAGTTTTATTGAATTTCGTCCTCATCACCACGAACCTCTCATTGAGTTGGATCCACATCTACCCACGCTAAATCTGTCACGTACATTTCCAAGTTGGATACCAAAGCGCTAAGTTAGTTAGTTCGTAGTTTTACAGAAGAGATATTGCCTTCGTTGCGAACAACGTTTTAAGAGGATAAATTTTTTAATTACAGAACTTTAGAAGTCTGAAAATCAATGGTACAACATTTAAATTTTGAAATCCTGTGCAGGTAGGTTGTGTGGTGGTGCACTCCTCATCCGTTTCATACCAGTCTAGTGAGAATTTGTTATTTGAATACCTTTATTATTTATTTGACAAAGGATTCAAACGATATTGCAGTTAAATAAATATTAGAATTTTAAAGTGAACTAGATTAGTTAAAGATTAGACAACCATCGTTCCTTATCAGCGTTCAACAATACAATAATTTTCAATGGTTTCATCACCGCATCACCACATCATTGCATCATCACATTATAACATCATCGTATCACGTTCGTTCGTTTTTATATGCTGATAATCAACAATGGATTCATAATCTGAGTTTAAACCTAAATAACGATGATAATTAGTGTTGGATTCATGAGCTTCCTATCCTCTAAAGTACCACTGCAGACATCCATGTCAACATCAAGAGCGTCGTCATGGTTTTTTGGCTGGAGAGTGTTGGTTGCTCCAATGGGAGGCGGGATGGAGTTGGGATTTTGAACTGCCAACTTGCGTCCTGCGAGTGCAGAGATGCAAACATTTTTTTAAAAGTTTTTCTGAATTTAATCTAGTTTAAATATTACTCCAAATGTTATTAATAAGTTATTTTTGTGTTTCTCCAAAACTAACTGAGAAAGACAGTGTACACGATTAAGCCGATTGTTGTGAGGATGGCTACGGTTGAGACAACGATGAAGGCAATCATCACATTTTTTTCTTGAGAAACTTTTGAAATATATAAATTTATGAAATAATTTTGGAAATAATTACAAAAAAAGTATCATTAAATATGATTGAGCAATAAGATGAACCTGCACATGTTAATTGATCTACATTGTAGAAACCAGTGAGGCACGTGCAGCCGTACAAACCAACGCTGTTCACGCAAACGGAGGAAACATTGTTACAAATGTTCGCGTCGTTCGCATTTGTTATCGTGGTTTGTAGTTCACAAATTTGCAGAACGAAGTATTGATTTGTTGAAATGTGAATAAAATCGCGACCTGAACGAACATTACCAATCCGTTCGAAGCCAGGTGAACATCTGCAAACGGGGGAGCCAACTCTGTTGAGGCAGGTTCCGAATGGCGGGGTACACTTGTGCGTGTTTGTTGCACATTCGTCGACATTTGCACTGCATGTAGTAATTTCTTATCAATCTCAGGTTTTTTAGTTCTCAAAAACGAAGAAAAGAAGAAATTATATTTGTAACCTATGCAAATGGTTTTATCGCCGTCCAAATTTCTGTAACCAGCCTTGATCTTATGCAGTGGATTCCTCCATTCTTACGAAGCAAAAACTGCTTTGCCTCCCATCAACGCACTCGCTCGGATCGTATGTGGGATCTCTGTAGTTCATATAAGACGGCTTATAGATCGCCATATTTTCTAATTGTACGTTCGAGCCTTTGAAAAGTTAAACAATGCTTATCAATATTTCTAGATTTAATTGAATAATCATTGTTCATTACACATTGTTAATTTATCGACGTAACTCTACAAAGCATTTATCTGAGTTGATGTACGCATGTGATTTCATGTGGATCATAAAAATATTTCTGCGAGCAATCAACATTCTCAGAGGTTTCAAGTTTGTTAAACAAAATTAAGTACCCTCGATATTTGAGTAAGAGTTTAGAATTTCAATAATTCAAAATACCCATTTAATATCCATGTTATTCTCGTTAAACTGAAGTTTTTAAGAAGTGAAAACATTATTGAAACAGTCGAATCTAATGAAGACAACGTTACATTTCTAACAAGGAAGAAGAAATAATGGCTTTACTATTTCACGGCAAACACAATGAAATTATCATGAGTTTGACTCATCTAGCCACACGTAAGTACATACCTTACATCATAAAACAATGCAATACAACCTTATAATAGAGAATGTAGAAGCTTTCTGCAATTAATGTGCTAATATCACCTTATTTTAGGAATTCAGTTAGTTTTATGATTCGTTAATACTTTTGGAACGTTTCTTCAAATTTCGTTACACAATTCTTTCTTCAAACATTTCAATCACCACTCGCAGCGATTTTCTTCAGTCAGCAGAAGCAATAAAGTTTTTAAACGAGTCCATTTCTACCTTGAAGGTCTTGGGCTGCCCCTCTGAAACATTGCAATTTAATTCAGGACAGTTCACTACGAATTATGAATCTTTTGGTCCCTACCTATGACGTGAATATATAATTGTGAATATTATTTACTCTACGTAATCTGCTGTCTCTCTTTCTTCATCAGGCTACTCAATAACGTTATAAAGGTCGTTAAAATTCAATCTATTGTATCGACGGACAGCGGAGTTTTTAAATTAAATTATATCAGATAAAACAAAGCAGCGAGCCTAGTAAAAGATGGCCTCCATAATTAACGATGCGGTTGCTGTATTATAGATTTGTTTTCATTTATTGAATGTAATCTCTCCATTTTTTTCTCTGACATGCAACTAATGAAAAATGTTTGGCTAATATGTTTGTTTACAAACTATAAAAAAATTCAATGAACCATTCAATTCAATGAACCATTCAATTCAATGAACCATAGCTGTTACAAATAATTAAAAATTAGTTCAATATTTTTTCCAAATAGTCAACTACTTACTGTTAGTACCTAAACATGTGTCACGAAACATATTTGTTAACGAAACATAACAAAATTCAACAGTCCCAGCTGACCCGACTACAGAGCCCAAGCAAATTTGTTATATATATTATTATATATTTTATATATATATATTATATATATATATATAGATAGAAAAATTGGTTCATGATTATGGTATTTCCGGTACTGTTATCAAGTGGTTCAAATCATATCAATAATGTGTTATCTAATGAAACGGTTTTAACATCAGGAGTGCCACAAGGTTCAGTGCTTGGGCCCATTCTTTTTATCATGTATACCGCTGAAGTTTTTAAAGTAATTGGTAATTTCAGTTTTAAATATCACGCCTATGCTGATGATATTCAGATTATAGTTAGTAATAAACCAGAATGACTGCAATCTGAAATCAACAAACTTGTAACCTGCCTAAATAACATTGAAAGTTGGATGTCAAACAATGGTCTTAGATTAAATCAGCAAAAGTCAAAATTTCTTCCAATAGGTACATGGCAGTAGCTGATGAAACTTAATATCGATTCAGTGAAAATAGGAGATGTTAAAATAGAATTTAGTGACAAAGCAACGAATCTGGGTTTTCTTTCTTGATTCTAGATTATCGGTGCATGATCATGTAAAGATGATAACAAATTCTTGCTCCGGACAGATTCGAGAACTCTATAAACTCCGTAAGTCATTAGATAAATCTGCTATTCATACATGTTCATTCACGATTGGACTATTGCAATGGTCTGTTTTACGGTTTGCCAGATAGGTCTATTTCTGCAATTCAATCCATTCAGTTTTTGTGTTAAAATAATTAATTATAATTTTACGTCAATAAATTTATCTTGTTGAATTATTATCAAACCGCAAAATGCTTCGAGCCAGCCACCCATGTGATCAAAAATATTTTCATTTATAAAAAGTTTCCAGTTTTGGAATAGTGCAAAGTGTATTAACGTGGCAAGAAATTTTGTTACCATGCAAATGGTGCAACAGAAGAATTTTTATAACTTCAAAAACAGAGGAGTATCGTTCGTCATTTTTAATGAAAGCTTCCTCATTATAATTGAATTTATCACCTCCAATCTCATAATTTTATTAAATATTAAATTACATTACAAATATATGGTCTTTTAGTAAAAATAACAAAACAAATGAGTTAACTACTAAAAGTGTATATATATATTTTTTATTATTTTTATTTTATTATTATTATTATTATCATCACCATCATCATCAAACAGCCATTAAACTGATATATATATAACTTCTTTCCAATATCATCATCATCATCATCATCATTATTATTATTGTCATTATTATTGTTATTATCATTATGACTATCTCTTGTAAATTAAACTAACGATTCAACTAATTCAGTAATATCATCATCATACGCCATCTATTGCGACAGACATTCAAATGTATAATAACTATATTAAGACTGATTACATTTCTCGTTGTACGCATTTTATATCTATAAAGGCGAGCATCGTAGACTACTTTCTCATTTTAATTCATTTTATTTTATTTTATTTCATCGAATATTTATTTCGCCCCTTTTTTTGGAAAAAAAAATAAAAGAGTTCCCATTATAGATACATGTAATACAATTTTAAAGATTTGAACAAACCAATCGAATCAATATACTACTTAAATTAATTTTAAGCTTGTTTAAATATCATCACAAAAACAATATATTCAGATTAAATTGATTAAAGTTAGTTTATTGGGAGAAGACAATAAAGCAAAACTGATGTTAAATTAAGATAAATAAATTTACAAAACGAACTGAAGTTTTTTTTTTTTTATCATTTGACGAATCGAACCATTCAAGATAAAAACAAGAAAAACAAACAAAAACGTATTTTTTAAATTTTATCTATATATTAAATGAAAATATTATAAAACCTTTAGCAACAAATTTTATTAAATAAAGAATGTTCAACAAACAAACAGACGCAAATCCATAAAATCAAATATTAAAAATTAGTTAAATATTTTTCCAAAAAAAAGAAATGAAACTCATCAGCTACTGGAATGAGATGAGTGCAAGAAAAAAAATGATCCAAAATTTAAAATCAAAATTGAAAAATAAATTATACAAAAATATGTTAATGTTATTATATACAAACATTGTTAAATGTACAGATCCATTCTAGGTACATCGTTAAAGTCTAAAATAAATTGGAAAAACATCTAAAATGATGATATAATTATTGTCATTATTATCTTAAACCATTATATTATTATATTAATAAATATAACATCTTTAAATTAATATATTAATAATTTATCTTTAAATTAATATATTAATAATTGAAAGCCCCATTAAAGCGAATGAAGAAGTAAATAATGAATCAGCGAAAATTGAAAAATAAGCAAAAAAAATGTATAGATACGTGAAACGGTTATAACGTTAAATGGTTGGTTTATAAAATTTTTATCTGTTCGTACACTTCTTCATTCATTCATTCATTCATTCATTCATTCATTTATTCATTCATTCATTCATTCATTCATACATTCATTCATTCCTTTACTAATTTAGCTGCTCCTTCATTCATTCATTCGTTTTTATATTCATTCATTCACCGATTAATCCACTCATTCATAAATTTAGTCCATCATTTATTCATCTTTTTAAAAATAAATAAACATATTTATTTATTCACTCATTGACCCAACCACAAAAACGAGTTTATATTAACATGAATTATTTTAAATATTGAGAATAAAGTAATTTAAATAAAAAATAAAAAAACAACAAATAAAATTTTTCTAAATGAAATAATTAAAATAAAAAACAAGAGACTAGTGTTATAATCAAAAGGATGACGTAATTTTGTTCGTTTCAATTAATAATAATTAGCATAAACTCATTAATATTAATGAACATAATTTTATTCAGGTTAATTAACGTAATCGTATTTAATGCTAATTAACATAACCTTATTCAATATTAATTAACATAACCTTATTAAACGTTAATTAATTAAGAATAATCAAAATGATACAAAAAAAATGAGAGTGATTGTTTAACGAAACGTTTCATTTATCAGCAAATAACAAAATCATAACGGAACGTTGTACAGTTTTTGTATAGATAGAAGTAATAGTAGTAGTAGTAGTAGCAGCAGCAGTAGTAGTGGTAGTAGAAGCAAGTAGTAGTAGTAATAGTAGTAGTAGTAGTAGTAGTAGTAGTAGTAGTAGTAGTAGTAGTAGTAGTAGTAGTAGTAGTAGTAGTAGCAGCAGCAGTAGTAGTGGTAGTAGAAGCAAGTAGTAGTAGTAGTAGTAGTAGTAGTAGTAGTAGTAGTAGTAGTAGTAGTAGCAGTAGTAGTAGTAGTAGCAGCAGCAGTAGTAGTGGTAGTAGAAGCAAGTAGTAGTAGTAGTAGTAGTAGTAGTAGTAGTAGTAGTTGTAGTAGTAGTAGTAGTTGTAGTAGTAGTAGTCGCAAGTAGTAGTAGTAATAATAGTAGTCGAAGTAGTTACTGCAGCAACACTACTTCTGCTGCTGCTGCTGCTAGTAGTAGTAGCAGCAGCAGTGGTAATAGAAAAAGAAGTAATAGTAGTAGCAGCAGTTAATGTAATGTAGTAGTAAATGAAGTAGCGTAGTAATGTAAGTAGTTGTGGCGTTTGTTTGTTTGTTTGTTTAGTGATAACAATGTTTGCAGTAATGAAGCGATTGGTTAAAAGTAAAACAATAACAATTGATATTCTGAATTAAAAATCAGGAAATCCAAATGGAAGAACAGTCACATGTAAACTCACACATACACACAAACATACATTCGTACATACATAGACACACATAAATTAGCCACACACATGCTTGGATATGTATTAAAATTGCCAAAATTGTACGAATAATTTTAATTTTTTTTCAAAAAAATTTTCTAAATTTGCTCAAATATTACTCAAACACTTGGTACTATTATTAGTACAACCAACGATTGCATTGAAATTCAATAATTTGAATGATGTCGACAAGTAGAATGAAAATGTCAAAGGCAAAAAGTTGAACAATCTTCAAGAGAATACATATTGTACATTGTAAAATCCTTGCACGCACGAAAGACAGAACAACACAAACGTATTGCATACATGTACAGTACAGATATGTGTACACACACGTACATAACGCACATACAAACTTTAGTACTCAGATACAAGTACATAAAACTAATACACAGACACAAATTACAATATACAATATACAAAAATACACGCATATACAAACACACACACATTTCAAACACATAGCCACTTTTTAATTCACAATGCAACATTTGACAGATGCATGTTGAAAGTATCAATTGTATAGTGAGCTGGTGAACAAAAATCCAACACACACAAACACACACAAACACACACAAACAAACATACACACAAACACACAAACAAACACAAAACGCATCAAAATAATGATCTTCTTTAAAATTTCAAAGAACCAAAATGAATGATTTAACTCTCATTTATTATTTCGTTAATTTAAAAATATATGTATGCATATGCACATCATATATATTTCTTTTACTCAATAATTAACTTCATTCATAGTCATTCATAGTCATTCATTTATTTATTCTTTCATTCATTCATTCATCCATCCATTCATTTATTTATTTGTATATTTTTTCAGTCGTACCTAAACAAATACATCATGAAAAATCATAAGACATGTTGTGACGAGTTGCAATAAATATTCAATTAACTCTCGGCTGTTAAAAATCTTAGATATATTGTATATATATATTGTATATATATATAAAAGTAGATATATTAGTAGAAGGTAGGATATAAGTTTTGTATTGTGTATGTCGTCAAGATAGTTATGTGTACGTGTATATACGTGTGTGTGTGTGTACGTGTGTATGTGTGTGTGTGTGTTTGTGTCTATATATATAAATGCGTATACGTGTGCCTGTATGGATGTGTGTGAGTGTGTATATATGTCTCCGTGCGCGTACGCGTATATATGTGTGTATGTGTGTGCGTGTGTTTGTATGTGTGTACGTGTGATATTTAGAAGGGCGTGACAACAAAGTCTTAAAGTCGCTTATAGACGCGCCTAGGAATTGAACTATAACAAGAAAAAAAAATCAAATTTTTAAATGGTGGATAATGGAAGGATATAAAATGAACATAAACCAGTACTAATCACATTTTAAAAATTAAATCAATCATCGTTATAAGCTCAATTAACCATCAATTGTGAAATGGTGTTATTTAACTTTTATAGGATAACTTTTTACACGGGTACTTCCACATGTCAAAGGATGGTAGGTGATGAACTAGCGAGCGATAGCACGTAACATTTCTCACAAGTGTCTGTCTATTATTAATTTTGTATTCTAATATTTTCGGGAAACATAGTAAGAAAATGTTTTCAAATCTGGTAACCTCTTTCACCACATTTACTAACTAAGTTAATTAATTAATTACTGATTAATTACATATATTATTTATGAAATACGAAGTGTTGTTTTAGTTAGTTTTATATATTTATCCATCCATCCATCCAATCATTCATTCATTCATTCATTCATTCATTCATTCATTCATTCATTCATTCGTTCATTCATTCATTCATTCGTTCGTTCGTTCGTTCTTTCGTTCGTTCGTTCGTTCGTTCGTTCGTTCCATCAATCAATCAATCAATCAATCAATCAATCAATCAATCAATCAATCAATCAATCAATCAATCAATCAATCAATCAATCAATCAATCAATCAATCAATCAATCAATCAATCAATCAATCAATCAATCAATCAATCAATCAATCAATCAATCAATCAATCAATCAATCAATCAATCAATCAATCAATCAATTATTTTTTGTATTCTTCAAGAGTTATAGTTATTTAATTGTAAGTTACACGTTTATTATATTTCTTAATTATTATCAACATTATTTCAAAATAAGATATATGCATCAAACAGTCTTTAAACATAATGCATAATAAATAAAGTTCAAGTCATTTTGTAGTGTATTGTATTTTATTTATGTCTGTGTATATATACATATGTGTGTGTGTGCGTGTGTGTGTATCTGTTTGTGTGTGTGTGTCTGTTTGTGTGTGTTTTTGTGTGTGTGTATGATAAAGGATGGAATAAATATTGGTTCAACTAGAAGAAATACACAAACCAAAAAATCAAAAAATTGTTAAAACGAAAATTTGTAACTCAAAAATAATAAACCTGATAAGCTAAATGTAAAGAAGACTAATAAATTAACTTAATTAAATCATGAAATATATATTTACAAATACATACACGTTTATTATACAGAGAGAAAAAAAAAGAGGGAGAGGAGAGAGAGAGAGAGAGAGAGAGAATGATTGCTAATGAGTAAATGATAGAACTGTTGAAGGATTAATTGAATTGAACAAGTGAACGAACCAACCCGTGATGAAAAGAAATGAATGAATGAAATATTTTAAAATTGAAGATTAATACTAAGCAAGAAAATAATAATTATCATAATAATATTATTTGTACAATATATTATTTATAATAATAATAATAATAATAATAATAATAAAAATAATGTGATCTTTGATGATTAAATATAAATAACTGCAGGCCATATGATGACGTTGATGAGGGTGATGACAATGATGATGATGATGATGAAAATCATGAATGTGTATTAATATTTTTTTAGACTTATATGATTGAGCGCTACAACATAGCTTAAATAAATCTTCACCTTTCTTCACTACGTCATCATCACCATTCTCATTGCTATCGTTATCACTACCATTCCCAGCAACATCATTAACACTTGCATCATCATTATCATCATCAACAACACTCGCATCACCATCATCATCACCATTGTCATTGGTATCAAACATTGCAAATAACATCGTCAAAATGATCATCCTCTCGTCACCATCACCACATCATCACCACATCATCTTCATCACCACATCATCTTTCCCATCTTCATAGTAACCTCACTATCATCATCCTCATCATTTTTATAGTTACCCCTTCATCATCATCTTCATAGTCATCACATCCATTATCGTCTTTATCATCTTCATAGTCACCTCACCCATCATCTTCGTCATCTTCATAGTAAACTCCTCCATCATCATCTTCACAGCCACTCCACTTATCATCATCATCTTCATAGTCACCTCACTCACCCATCATCATCTTCATCATCTTCATAGTCACCTCACTCACCCATCACCATCACCATCATCCTCATCATCAGACGACAGAAAGAACGTCAAGACTGGAGCTGAGGTGTCTGTCCTTTTTATCCTCCAGTAGACGACTTTCGAAATGTTCGTGAAGTTTTTTGAAGTCTTGCATCTTAATGACGCCCGCGTTTGAATCTAAGTTCACTTTTTCTTCGAACAAACTTGTGTCCGGCAGGTCCAAGCCGGCAATTAATGGCGAATGAAACGGCGATGAGGAGAACGAAGATGATGTTGTTGATGTTTTGACGTTGTTGATGTTGCCGTTTTTGTTCTTGTTGTTTTCGCTGTTGTTGTTTTTGTTGTTGCTATTGGTGTTGTTGTTGTTGGTGTTGTTGCTGATCAGTAAGTCTGGAATGAATGCAGGTGGAAACATTTTTGTGCCTGTTGGCGTCGGCAACCCATTCACAATGATACCGTTGTTGTTGTTGTTGCTGTTGTTGTTTTTGCTACTTTTGATATTGTTGTTGTTGTTTTTGTTGTAGTTCAAGTCATCATTGGTGTTGTTGTTTACGCTGTTGTTGTTTGTTGCGTTTCTATCGACAAGTAGTTCGCTGACGTCTATGGCCGAATCTTTAAAGTTGTTGTTTGTGTTGTTGTTGTCATCCTTTTTATCACAATCATTCTCATCGTTGCTTGTTATTTTGTTGTTGTGTTTGTTGCCACTTGTGCTGTTTCCATTGTTATTGTTGTCATCGTTGTAGTTGTTGATGATGCTGTTGATGTCGTTGCTGCCAGTCGGACGAGTCAGTAGCGGACTGGACTCCACATCCGGTTTAAACTCGACCGACAGGTCTAAAGAATTGTTGCTATGGAGGTTTTGATGATGATCGTGATAATAACGACGATGATGATGATGATGGTTATTATCACCATTGTCTTCGTCATCGTCATTGTTAGCGTTGTATTTGTTTTTTCTCATACTCTCATTGATCTGGTTCTTCAGACTGACGATCCTCATCATCATAACAGATGTTGCAGTATCCGATGCAGCTGATGATGATGACGGTGTTGATGTTGACAGCAGCAATGATGACGGTGATGATGATGATGACGATACTGGTACAGATTTTGTTCTTTCATTTTCTATCAAACTATCCAGTGACCTTAACCTCCCTGCCTTGGTCTTCGATTCCCCGACACCACCATCCACATCATCTCTTTCATCACCATCACCACAACTTTCGTTTTTATCACTGAAATCATTACTACTGTCACCATTCTCAACATTTTTATTAATACACCGGTAGTTGTGGCTGCTGTGGTTGGCGGAAGAAGCTGCAGACTTTCTCTTCAACGTAGCTGCATCTGACGCTGTTCCAGGTGCAGCAAACAAATCAAAATCAGGTCCGAACATCTTTCTGGCAGTGATTGGAGATGGCAGCTGGTAGTTGGAGAAGGTGCAGTCCGTCAGTTTGTACCTTTCAAAATCTTCGGTGTCACTGTCCGACTCCATGTTGTTGTTCCAGTGAGATGATGAAGATAAGAGAGAGAGATTGTTCACGCTGTTGTTTATGTTGTCGTCCGTGTGTTGAGTTGTCGTGTTGTCGTTGTTGTGGCTGTTGCAGTTGGTGGCGTCGGAGGTCGGCGTGGAAGCGGCTGACATTCGTAAGCGTTTGATTTGTTTAAGCTGAATAATCTGGATGTGTTTTGTGCGTGTTGTGAATTTAAATTTCCTTCATTCAACGAACCACGACCAACCACCACTACCAAGCCACTTGCTTCATTCATCCATAACACAGTCCGACAATCATCACCATAGCAGCAGACCTGTTGGTGGAGATCCTCTATCTTGACATCGATGTCAGTGATGCTGACCAACTTGTTGTGGCTGCTGTCCCTGTGGCTGATCTTCTCGGCTGCCAACAACTCCTCGTTCTATCGTCCAACATAAACAATTATTATGAAAATTATTATTGTTACTTACTGCCATTATAACTACCTATAAAAGTAGTAGTGCCCCTATCGCTAGTGATGTTATCGCTACGGCAGCTACTACCACTACTACTACTAAAGCCAGCCAGCCAATCTATCAGGCAATCAACCAACCAGCCGACCAAACAATCTATCAATCAGCCCTATCAAATAGTCATACCCAACCGGTCAACCAACAGGTCAATCAATCCATCAGATAACCAGAAAACCAACCAACCAACCTGGCATTCCAGTTGTGCAATGTGTTGCTTCAGCTCCGTTATCAACTGCAAATTCTCAACTTCTCTGATCCTCAACATCAGGTCGTCATCTTGTTGCTATGGTAACCATGGTGGCGAAATATATTTCACAGTTATCTTATCAATATTCCCAGAAGTATCATCAACAAACAGGCAATGCATGTAACTACACGTGAATGGACGCGTTCGAACAGAACACGGCTACTACAACAGCAGCGTCAGGCGCCGCAACAACAGTAGCGACAGGTGCCGCAGCCATCGGGCAGTGCACCCTATCCTATCTTTTTAATCGATCATCCTAATTTAAATAGCAAAAACTTCTCAAAATACGCGAGAATTTACGCATCACAAGAATATAATAATGCGGATTTCTTAGCACTCGACAAAGAACTTGAGGCTCTACCCAAAGATTTATCGCGCCATCATAGTTGCAGATGAAATAACTTTTTCAAAATATCCTTTAAAATGTATAGATATGCATAAAAATTGATAACAACGAGTGAACAGTTTTTGAAATATGAATGAAAACTGTGACTAACTGCAAATTTTGAACAAACAAACAAACAAACCCCAAACAAACGAACAATCAAAAGAACCAACAGCCAGCAAACCATGCAACCTTGGTCTGGTTCTTGGAGAGTTGTCTCTGCAGACCACGTATCTCGGTTTCATATTCAATCTCTTTCGTTTCGTAGGCTGACAGTTTGACCTTCAATGCTTCAACTTCGTCCTCTAATTTTCTGATCAGCCGCTCGTCCACGTGAATTTTTGTCTCGAGGTCAACAACCTTGACCTTGAGGCCCATGAGTTCGTTGATATAAAAGGCTTCCTTAAGTTTTGTTGAAAGAAGTTCTTCTGTCAGCAGTTGCAGTTTGGCCTTTTGAACTTTCGTCTTGCCAGGGTCAGGACTGTTCGTTAGAGCTAGGTGAGTCTTGAAAGTTAGAAAGGGTTGTGATGATGAGTAGGATTATGATAAGTATGATGATGATGATGATGATGATGATGAGTATGATGATGACGAGTATCATGATGATGGATATGATGATGATGAATATGATGATGAATATGATGATGATGATGAGTAGGATTACGATAAGTATGATGATGATGATGAGTATGATGATGACGAGCATCATGATGATGAATATGATGATGATGAGTAGGATGATGATGAGTATGATGATGAAGAGTATCATGATGATGAATATGATGATGATGATGATGATGAGTAGGATGAATATACATATGCAACACAAAATTTATAGTGTGGTTGAAAAAAATTAAAAAAGTTACGCTAAATAAAATTATTGTTTGAATAAATGTTGATAATTACTACGGACCTGCCAATACTTATCAAGTTCGAGAACTTTCCTCTCGAGTTCCTTGGCAGACGAGTTCGTTTCTGCCTCCCTCAACTTGCTGAGAACCAACTGCTGCTGCAACTCTCTGATGTCTACCACGTGGTGATGGTGGTGATGACTGCCCGATGGTGAAGGGAAGGATGACGTTGAAGAGGAGGATGGTGCTGGATCCTGCTGCAGCTGCTGAACGACGATGATGAAGAGGAAGAGGATGAAGGTGATGATGATGATTATTATTACTATTATTATTAGTGTAATGGCAAAGATCTTAAATGTCATTATCAACCATAACAGAAATCAAATCAAGTGAAATAATTGGAGCAACAAAAAACAGGTTCATTGTGAATAAGAGGTCTTCAGTGGTCACATCACTTCAGATAGTATAGTGACAAAAACTTCATCAACAACGACAACAACATCAACAACATCAACAACGACAACAACATCAACAACATCAACAACGACAACAACAACCACGACAACAACATGAACAACGACAACAACGACAACAAAACACGAAAGCATGCAGCAGCACCTTTTCCAGCTCGGCAATCCTCATCTTCATGTCCTGCATGCTGGCCAGGTGGGAGATCTCCCGCGCAACGTACTCCTCTATCTGCCCACGCAGACGTTTGCAGGTCGCTTCGTCATCATTGCCACTGCCGTCGGAGTTGTTGTTGTCGTCGTCGTCATTTTGTCTGCCGTGTTTCTCAATGTTTTTGACCTGAAGAATGTATGATGGTGTTGTTGTTGTTGCTGCTGTTGTTGTTGTTAGTGTTTGGTTGTTGTTGTTTGTTTTTGTTGTTGTTGTTGTTGTTGTTGTTGTCATTTTGTTTTTAGTGTTTGGTTGTTCCTGTCGTTAACTTTTTCATTCTCAATAAAAGCGATTGTTCAGAAATAGAGAATAACTCTAGAGAATAACGCTAATTTAGTTGTCAAAACGTTTAAACGTTATTTTATGATGTCTTGTCTGTTGATTTTGGTGCCTTATGTAAATAATGTTGTTGTTTTTGTCGTTTGTGTTGTTGTTGTTTTTGTTGGTAAGAATATTATTGTCGTTGTTGTAAATAATAGAAACAGTGTAATCAATTTAGTTGCATCCATGTTGACAACGGCGTTGGTCTATTTGCAGCAGCTCACATCGCAAGAAAACAACAAAAATCATAATGAAACCATATGAAGAGTGATCACATCAATAAGACAACGACAACAACAACAACAATAATTTTTATTATTATAATTATTATTATTATAATTATTATAGATATAATAATTATTATAAAACTAATCACAATAAAAAAAATTATTATGGAAACACTTTTTATTATTGAACCTCAAAAATCTAAAATCAAATTTCATAAATATATAAATGGGTATAGTATTATAATATATTATATTATAATAGTTATAATAATAATTATAATAGTAATCAAAATAATAATAATTGTTATTATATAATAATAATGAATATATTATTACTGATAACTAGAGCTACCATATTTTGTTCACGTTATTGATTTTCAGAAATGTTCATTGTTAACATCATCACAAATGCCGAAAATATTGATTAGTCTTCATCATCATCGTCACCATCATCAACATCATCATCATCATCAACATTATCATCATCAACAACAACATCAACATCATCATCATCATCAACA